CGGAGATCATTGACCTGATTGGCTCCCGATCAAAATACAGCGGAAGTTACAAGTCTGAAAGAGGACGAAGGTAATACTTGTTTTAAAAACTATTGTTTAATTCTCTATATTATTTGACAAACGAGACAATAAAAGTTACAGACGGTAAAATAACAGATCAAAAACCAAACTATAAGTACTTAGAATTATAAACAGATTATGTAATTCTGGCTATTACTCTCTTCTGCTTTAAATCTTTCACGAGTCTAGCAGATGTTGTTGAGTATTATTCACGTGCCTTGTTGCTATTTGACACTGCTCTTACGAGTTAGACTTTTAGATAAATCTTAAGATAAGCAGAATAATGATTCTTTTTTCACTGTGCGATTTGTAGAGATATAAACGGTCATAGTTCAGGCTGGAGACTTTCCGTGACTTAGAAAAATATAACATGACTTGTCACTCATTAATAGAAAATATCTGAGCCAAATTTCATTTACATTGAAGACTGTGTAAACACCAAATATACGAAGAATCTGATCAGATAGAGTAAGGACTATAGTAAGGACTATAGAAACACCATGCATACGAACAAGCTGAACAGATAGAAATGTGTTGAAGTAAGGACTATATAAACACCATAGATATGAAGAATCTGATCAGATATGGTGTGTTAAAGTAAGGACTATATAAACACCAAATATACGAAGAATCTGATCAGATATGGTGTGTTAAAGTAAGGACTATAGAAACACCATACATACGAAGAATCTGATCAGATATGGTGTGTTAAAGTAAGGACTATATAAACACCAAATATACGAAGAATCTGATCAGATAGGGATGTGTTAAAGTAAGGACTATAGAAACACCATACATACGAACAAGCTGAACAGATAGAAATGTGTTGAAGTAAGGACTATATAAACACCATAGATACGAAGAATCCGATCAGATATAGTGTGTTAAAGTAAGGACTATATAAACACCAATTATACGAAGAATCTGATCAGATAGGGATGTGTTAAAGTAAGGACTATAGAAACACCACAGATACGAACACACTGATTAGATGGGGATTGATCAACAGGTCTGGTTTAAAATGAGAAGTTATTTATGTTACAAACACAGTATTGATCAATTAACATAAATAACTTCTCATTTTAAACCAGACCTTTTTTACAGAAATCTTAAGTTTCTTTAAAATGCTTAAGAACAGGGTGAAACAGGATTTACCAGCTAATAACAGATGACTATTATATGACAGTAACACGTCAATTCAACACTCAATGCTTTGTACACTATACAACCGGTATCTTTAGGGAGTCAACCCTATATCATGTAAAACAAAAAAGCCAGTACACATAATAATAAATTTCATTACACACATTCATAGAATACACTAACTTTCAGTCAAGGGAAAAAAAAACGTCACAAAACCAGTAATAAAAACAATTTGTAAATGTAAGATGATGTAAGGATGGCAGTGCCAAAAAGAATGCACACAAGAATATGGGGATGATACAGCTATACATAGACCATTCCTATATGGTTTTCAGTATTAAAATTTAATACTACACTGTAAAATGGATACTTGACTTTAATATTACTACAGTTGGAAGATATATATTCCTAAATATCGGTATACAATTTGTTTATTATAATATCATGGTCATGTCAGGGTAGGCATCAATGTAGTGTAACTAAGAGCCTAGGGCTTACGTACAAGGAAAACCAAGTTTAGTCAAAACATGTCTTGATTATTACAGACTCTCGCTACGAGGTAAGTCGAATTGACCGATCTCGTAACCATTTTGTACTCGTGCATTTTACAGTGTAATATTACATTATGTAGTGATGATCTATGCATAACTTTATTAGCCCTATATTATTGTTTGCATTATTTTTGGCACTGCCATACCTATATCATTTGCCATTTATAAAATGTTTTTATTACTTCTTATCAATAAGAATAGAACATTTTCAATACAGTGTTGATTTCTGGTTCTATATATATGTAGGTAACTTGCTTTGATCAGAAGTTGATAAATGCAATAATCGGAAAGCATTAGAATTTTAATCATTATTAAATTTGTTTTACGTTAGTTTGAAGCTAAATAAAACACGGAATTCCAAGGTTTTGTCTCACTAGATATATTAACATTTGAAGTGATATGATAAGTACCTGTGGAGAAAGATGACTTCCACGTCCACGTCTTCCCTGTCTTCGTGGAGGAAGTCTTTTAGAAAATGAGATACCGTTTCATAGGTAATGTGTCCACACACTACGATATGCCTACAAGGAACAAGGTACCAATGTAAACCTGTCGGGTGCTAGTTTGTTCTTGTTCAAACCGTTTACCAGGTGTAATGTATCTTGTAAACACTACACATTTCTTGATAAAAACACAACATATAGCCTGATAAAAGACTTCTAATAATTTTCCCTTTAATGTTATTTTGCTATTTTAATTTAACATGGAGAAACTAATACCGAGCTAATCTTTACTGAATGAATTATTTATCAGTATCTTTGTGCTAACATAAATAACTTCTCATTTTAAACCAGACCTGTTGATCAATACTGTGTTTGTTGCTAACTTGAAGGGGCAATTAATGATAACATCGTTTACAATAGAATTATGATTTTTTAAAAATTACTACTAGTTTATTACAACTAAATGATGACATCGTGTACTGCCCAGAAACACAGAGTGGATTTAGGTTTAAACGTATGGACTGAAACAAGAACAAAGATAAACAATCTGGTAGGTTGGTCACTTTCTGGTTTAGTATCTTAGCAATGGTTTCTTGCTTTGTTTTTGGGCTTATTGGGTAGAGAAACAAATCAAGTGAGTGACAATCATATTTAAAGTAATTGTTGATTTTTTAATGTGTATCTTTGTAATATACCTATTGAGTACCTTGACCGTCCCTATATACAGAGTCTACCAACTCTGTGATAATTATAATGTGTATCATTGTAATATACCTATTGAGTACTTTGACCATCCCTACATACAGAGTCTACCAACTCTGTG